CCCGCTCTTAATCCCATGTTGGACAGCGAAGGACCGCGATGAACATTATTTCACGAGAACATCTCGGCGCTCGGTTCTCGAACGCGGTATCATCGCGTATCGGGTATCTGTTGGGCCGAGGCGAGGCACGTTGTGTGTGTGTACACTTAATAAAGTAGAGGTGTGGAGTTCCGCGATAGCGGCTCGCGGAAGTTATGCCCGACCGGAATCCGCTGCTAGGTCTCCGCGCGGCAACGTTTGCTGAATTATCGCCGGCCGAACGCTGCGCATAATGCAGCGACGCACTCTGTTTCCCCGATTACCCCCCCCCCCCATCAGACTACCTGGACGATCGTTACCGTGATTATTTTCAATCCCCGGTCGAAATCTGCGTTTAAAACCACAGCTTTTAAACACACACACACACACACTGTGAATGTACGTTTGAATTATAATTATGATTGTGGACGATCGGATTTCTGCAACGTTCTTATTTATTCGTCGAGTGTGTATTTGATTCGTTGCATTTTGGCTTTCATTTCGAACCGAGGATCAGCTACGAATTCGGCTGATATAACCTGCAAAGTAATAAAATCAAAGAGGTGGAGCAACTTTTTAAAACTTTGTAAAATATAGATATCCAGAGCAATATTCAGTAGGCGATCCATTTAAAAAAAATTGATAGGGATCCGGGTTTCCGTTTAAATTCTCCGTTGGGTGGATGTAATTTGATGCAGAAACGATAGATATCCTTCCATCGGTTTTATCAAAGACACTCCATTTTCGCGGGCTGCTGCCCGAACGAAGCTACGATATCGCGCGATAACTCGATCAAGCCCGATAAACCTGGTATTTATTATCCCCGGAGATCTCATTTTGATACTCGTTGGCTCGCCCTCTCGCGGCAATGCGTTTCTTCCACCGGAAGTTGCACGTCCAGAACTACACGCTTGAATACGCCGCGAGATACCGCGTTTGATTGAAATACTGAATACCGTTCCTAGGAACGCGTTTCCATGAAATTCCTCTTCCTCGTCGCTGCGGCTCGTAAAAAAACGAGAAAAAGCTCTCAGCGCCTCTTCAACGCCTCCCGAGACACTCTGCCGAAATATTCGGAAATAAATATATACTCATTATCGCACGTTTGAATTTGAGTTTTCAGCGCTCCTCTTCGATCGACTAGCAAGGAAGTTGAAATATTTCCACGAAAGACGACGAGGCAAAACTTCTTCCATTCCGCGTCGCGAAATATTCGTGCGAGAAAGGTCTCACGTTTCGTGACAAGAAGTACCGTGGCCAGCGAAACGAGCCTCGTGGGAAATCGTTTTTGAATAACGTGGTCTTCGACCACGGTAACCAAGTTGCTGTTCCAATTAACGAGCGGCGATAAAACTGCGGGTAAAACGGGATATTTCGAAGTAACGTGACGATCCTTCATCCAGATGCGTTAATCCCCCGATTTATTTATTGCCTTTTTTTTTTCTTTTTCTCCCTCATTGAAATTAAAAGCGATTTAAAAGAATAGAAGAAAGAGGATAGAGAAGTGACGGTAGCATCGATCGAGATATACGCACGTATATCGAGTTAAGAGGGGATTATCGTTGCGCGGAGGGATCAACGCGTTGCCGTGGCGCACGATAATTATTTCTGCGTTAGCCATAATTATTGCCGGGGTGGCAATTAATTCCTGCCCGCGCAGCAATTAATTTATTGCGGCTTGATTAATTGCCGCATGCTCGCCGCCGGAGAGACAGTTCGTTATTGTGCTGCTGGATCGCCCTTTTCGCTCCGCTGCAAAGTCCACCGTCAGTCATCCCTTTTCCTAAGAAGAACTCTCCCCAGACATCCGGATCGTGCATCGTGCCTCCTCCTTCGTGGCAAGAATTCACGCGAGTACGTCTTGCAATACCTGTAATCCAACGAAATGACGAGCGAAAATGTCTACAACGAGAGACGAGAAAATCAGAAACTCGAAACTGAAAAGTTAATCAAATCGTTGATAAGGTGATGTCTGCTGGATTATTCGGCGAAAATTTAACGAAACACTCGAAAGAAACTTCGATTTAACTTACATTAAGGCCCGGGTAATTCAGTCTCTTGCACGCAAAATATCTTGGTCGATATTTTCTCCTCTTCTTTTGAGAATTGAAATATTAGGTGCTGCCTAATAGGAGAAGACTCGTACATACACGCCACGAAAACGGAGGATTTTATTAATTGCCCGGATCCGAGAACCATTCGGAACGGTTTCTCGTGTCGAAACGAAAATGCAGTCATCGATAATACGCGACCCACGACGAAGAGAACTAGTGGTGTATATTTCTTCGGTTATCGGGGGAGGATCGAGCGACAAATGGCGGTGCCGGTCCATTTTGCGGATGAGATATTGCGTAGATTTTCACTTTTCACCGTGGACCGTGGCCATTTGCGGCGAGATCTTTGAACGCGCTCGTAGAAACGATGTCCGGTGCATCTCGATGAAGAATGCTGTTTGGGAAACACGATTCGTTCCGAGGCCGCGTCCTGGCCATTGTACGCCCTAGGACACGTCGAATTTTTCAAAATATCCACCAGGTAGAAATTCTCCTTTCGTCACGCTGGTCTTTCGATACATTTGCCCGGATACGCGCGATTCCTACGTTTACGAAACTCTCCGAAAAATCCTCGTACGTGTAGGAAATCTTTTTCATAGCAACATTGATTACAATCTAACATGCTTACCATATTAAAGGATTTTATCAATAGAAAATCCCGTGATAGAATGTTTGATAATAATACGTTCGAAATACTCACGATTGAAAAATCCTACGAGCAGGTAGAGACAATTATCCAAAAGATACTTCTTCTACAGTTTATTGGAAACCTTGATACACTCGAGCTTAATCATAAATATTATGGATCGTACAATGCTATATTTACAAGTATTTTCGATCGAGCAGGTGGATCCTGTTTGCTAATTGTCGATTGTATACGGGATGGGGGAATGTAATATGTCTGATGAACGCGTACACGAAAACGTGTGAAGTAGTTTCCGCTACGACCAGGAGGGGAAATTAATATTTCACAGACTGACGAAAGTGCAGCGTTTCCACGCCGAGGAAATGCTTCCGCAGAATCCCGGAATGAATTATCAATACGAGAGCTGAGCTACGTTTCTTTGGCTGCCCCCGATGAAACGCGCGGGATCATCTCACGTGTAATGCGAAATATTATTTAATCCTCGCTGGCCGTTCGCTGGCTCGTGGCAATACTTTGATGCTCCTGCCTCTCGAGAATTTAAAAAAAAAAAAAAAAAATCAAACGAAGATACAAAACGAGAGAGAATAGTGTCTATGACGAAAGAGAAGAAAGAGAGGGAAAAGGGGGAAAAATCCAGATTCACTTGGACGCTGCTATAGTATATCATTATGCATATAAGTGTAAACCTAGACATTGTAGCTGTTTATTGCATAGCGATGTTTATATCATACGATAATGCATTATTCGCAAACATTCAGAAACTTCGATTGTAAAAATGTGTTAGTACATGTCTCGAAGATACAGCTGTGAAGTAGCATTCGCGTGGATTTCAATCAATTGAAAAAGGTTTGATTATCGTTTTCACGAAACGGCTTTCGACGTTCTATATTTTCTATATTTCTCTTTTATTCTTTCAGCTGTTACATCGAGAAACCTCGATGATTTCTGTGTTTTTGAATATGGCGAGTAATGCTGTTAGACATACTTAAAGTACTGAATCTCATCAAACGGCATTAGATCGTAAATCTAATCGTTTCGATCTCGTGTAATAACGTTCGCGCGAGCGGGAAAGATTGAAAAATCAAATATTTTTCACTCCCCAGTCGCGCGTTCGATACGGACAAAATCAGTGGCAAAATCCTCGACTACCAAGTTCGCCTTTGATCGTTGTTATCGACGGACGGCAACTCGCTTGTACGCGCGATGAACGAAGAAATCACAATTGGAAATTGTTACAGACGGAAAAGAAGCACGAGTATCGATCGATTAACGTTCATCGACGGCTATTAAAAAAAGGAAAAAGTAAAAAATCTACGCCTAATCACATTTATCACAATATACATATATATCCTTTACTTTATTCTATACTTTCCTAATTTTATTCATTTTTTTGACTACTTACTTTTTACAACTCATCTCACACTTTACACAAACCAAAATGCACAATTATCAAGTACTCTCGTGAGCGTAATTTTTTCGCTCTTGTCGACCATCGATTGGAAATACAAACGACTAATTTTACCGATCGAGCTTGTGCCCAACGCCATTACCGACCGAGTCCTACAAACACGGTGATTGTCCTCGCTTTAGTTACCGATTGAGAAGATCGGTGATTTCCCTCGATACACTCGTACCGACAGAGCCGTCGCGAAGAAGAAGGTGAGGAGGAAATATACTCGCATGTACGTTCAAGAGGCCGCGCATTAGTTGATCCTACCTTTATGAGTCATGTAACTTATACTATCGGACAGAAGCTTTTCCCTAGCCTGTCTTCGAATTCTCGAGCACATTGCTAATATCGTCCCTGCCATTAGGCAAACGAAGCCACAACCGATTCCGATGATCGTGCTGAGAACCGTCGATCTCAGGCATACTCTGTCGTTCGTCGATTCACTAGGTCCTGCAAAACACACCAAGATACATCTTTTCAATGTTAAAAAAAAAGAAAAACATGATATACCGATCCGATATACTTTGCTAGCATTGATTCTACAAATCTCAACGAAGCTGAACATGTGGAAAATCGGATCAATTACCACTTCGGAAAGCTGTGGTGGAGTTCTGGAAGAACTCGGTGTCCGCCTCGCCTTCCTGAAGAACGCGCAACGACTGGAATAGATTGACGTTCTCCGACAAACTCGTGGCTGGCGTCGACGAGCCAGCGATCTCCGGCAGCGAACGTTTGGCCACGTTTTTGGCGTTCCTCCAATGACACGGTTGGCTCTGTGCATGATCGCGAATAATTCAATGTATAGAGCAACAGGTATTTAAACCTCGTGCCAAGGGATATCGTTTTGATAAAGCGCGTCCATTACGCGGCGATTGATCGCGAAATTGCTGTCAATCGTCCCCCACTTACCGGACATCTCCCGTGGCACATTCTCACGTCGCACTCGATGTAAAGAGCCGGCGAGCCAGTGAACCTGAACGTCTTCATATAGGCGAAAACCTGCGTCTCGAAGAGACCGCTCTCCGACCAGGATCCACGGAATCTGCTGATCAATTTATCATCCACCGGACATCCGTACTGATCGATCAGTTGGATTCTCTTGTTCCCGCCGTTGTGGGCGTAACAGTCGTTCACGACGATGTCGAAACCATCTGCGAACACGTAAATATTCAATTCGCACTTTGAATTCGATATGTCTATCTACTGACGATCTCTATCTACTGAGACGACATTTTAATCGAATCAATCAGGCCTTTTGTTCGCCTTCAGAATCTGTTTATCTGATAGTCGAACGAGAAACGACGGCATGTTTCAACCGAATAAGATGGGAACCTGCGCGTTGAAACACTTGTTTCAAACCTTTAAACGCTGTACATCGATACCACTTATGATTTTATTAGAACTGGGATTCACCCAATTCCAGTGGAGGTAGTTCACCAGAGCATTGGAATTGCCACTGGTTATCGATTTCTCTTCGTGGAGGAAGCCCCAACGCGACTAATTTTAGATCCTCTCGAAGGAGAGACGCGCTCGTAACAGGGTCTCTGCTAACGCGTCCCGTTATCCCGGTGGAATAACACCGGGCAGATGTTACATACTACGTAGCGCCACGCGATTAGTTCGCCTCGGCCGCGTGGAATCGACGTTAAGAGTAGCGGCAACGTGAAAATGCGTACCGTATTTGCTGCGCATGTAGATAATGAGAGTCAGGGGATCGCCGACGCGAACTGGTCCAGCCACTCTAGTTCCAGTGGTCCCGTAACCGTATCTGATTTCCATGTAACACTCCGGTGGCTGCAGGGTGAACACTACGGGATTCCCCGTCGCCACTCTGCAAGAAAATATCCGCGTTAAGCCTGACCCACGTAACGCGTAAATATCATTCTGAAGTTGAAATATTATTATTATAGCATCGTAGGTTATATAATCTATAGTTATTATATTTTTAGTTGCATTCAATTGCAACAGATGGACTTTTCGAGGAAGAGAGACTCGATCGAGTTGAAAAACAGAGTCGATTCGAGTCGAGAGAGTTGTTGAAAAGGAGTTTATTTCAGTTGTTAATCTGTGTTCTTTGCTAACATTATCATTAACACGTTCCATGCCATGTGTACTACCGATGATACACGTTAAACTTGATCTTCAGGCCACGTGTACTAGCATATTTCTAATAAT